TCTTTAGGAAATAACTCAGGATAGGGATATAACTCAGGATCGGGAAGCATGGAGGTTAAGTTTGCGTTCTTTGGTGCAGGACAACTCTCCTCAAAGACTGGCTTCTCTTGGCCCTTCTGTCTGTTACCTCCAGCTCTGCCCTGGATCCCATCTGAGATGAGATTCCCATCGTCTTCGGTGTTATAGCCCTTGACCAGCTCTCTTAGGAGGTTTCTGGCTTCCTTTCTCTGCTGCTTTCCTTCTTGCTTCTTCTGTCTAACCTCTGTGAGGCGGGCGCATAAAACCCATACACATACACACCCCCACACACACACACCCCGCTTGTCAATTTCAAGGCACAGCCCCTCCCAATAGGCACATGAAACAGACCAGCCTCTCCCTATAGGCTACAGACACCTCATTTGCATAATAGGTGTGGCCAGGCCACAACTTATTTCATGTGCAGATTCTGCTGGTGAAAACCTGCCAGGTGCATGCTAATCCCAGGACGGGCTGCAGCCCAGCAGGAGTTAGAAAGTCTCAAATCACGTTTCTGACAACTTACCCAGGAAATGCCAATCAACCTGCACAAAATTAACAAATCCTCCCATGTAGAAGACCAGAGCACAGATAACCCATTATCCTAAACAGATAATGTTTAGGAGGGCAAGAACCAAGGGGGAAAGGACACATAAAAGAACTCCTTTTGCCCATTGTGATGAAATAAAATGTGAATGGTAGGGGAGCTCTGGTGGCCTAGTGGCAAGGAGCTGCAACTACAATCCCAGAGGCACACGGTTCGAATCCACCAGATGCTCTGCCGGGGAAGGAGGGACAATCTCCTCCTGTATCAGTCAGATCTGATTTGAAGGTACGCTCACACAAAAATAATAAAGTAAAAAATTTTAAACAAAATGTGAATGGTAGGACGTGCTGGTAAGGATAGGTGATCCTCAACATGACAGATTCTTCTGCCAACTTCATAGTAAATCGATTCTGACATGAGCGAAATACTTTGTTTTCTCTTTGTCAGTTTTCATTACTACTGCCTTTTATTTTCTGTGCCTTTACAAAACCTATCTGTACTCTGTAAATGTTCATTAAAATGAATTTTTAAAAATTATAAAAAACGTCTAACTGTATAGTCAACATTTGTGTTTCTTATAAAAGGTTTTTGCAATGAATAAATCATTAATTTTACAAATGTAAAAAAAAATCAAACCCCCAGAAAAACCAAAACCAAACCTATCTCTATTTATCTGTGGGAGTTGAACATGTTAGGACTGTACCGATGAGATGAGATTTGTCTTAGAGAAGATGCGGCTAGAATGCTCCATCAAAGCAAGCCTGGGGAAGCTCTGCCTTGCATGCTTTGTGCACGCTGCTAGGAGAGGCTGTTCCTTGGGGAGGGCCATCATGCTTGGAAAGGTGAAGGGTTGGCAAAAGAGAAGACCCTCAAACAGATGTACTGACACTGTGACTGCAGCAGTGGGCTTGAGTTTGGCAGAGATTGTGAGGAAGGCACAGACTAGGATAGGGTTCAGATCTGTTACGGAGAGGGTCGCTATGGCTCATACTCAACTCAATGACACCTAACAACAACAGCAACCTAAGATTACATCAGCAGTTACATACTACAGCTGTTAAAGGTACAGCAATGTAAGGGCGGTGTGTCTGACCTCCATTAACTGTACGAGGGGAACAATTCCAATTCACAACATCAGCAGAAAAAAAAAAAAAAAAAGGATCCCAAGAGGTGAGAGCTGCTCATACATTCACTCCCCAGACCCACATCTGTCAATCTGAATGTCAGCGCTCCCTGTCAGGGTTCTCACTGCTCCACTAACAGGTCTGCAACTCAGACGCAATGGCCACACAGAACTCAGACAAAACATAGAAACATAGATGATGGGGTTTGTTAGGGAAGTGAACAGGTGCTGCTTCAGAGAGGAAACAGGATACAGCTCTTCAAGCCAGGACAGCTTCTCAGTTGTGCTGAAGGTTTGCTGGCCTCGGAGGCTCTGGGTCAACTCCCTTAGACTTGCCAACCACAGCATCTCTGCCCCACCCCGGGTCCTCCAGCAAGCTGGGGTGACGGTCCTGGGTCTCAGTCTGGCTCTGTGGGACGCGGTCCCCAGCTAGCCGTGTCTCACATCAATTTCTATTTCTTCTCTGTTGCTGCTACTCTGTTCTAAGTCCCCACCTGACCCAGACAGGAATCTCTGTTCAAAAGGACTCACACGCCAGACTCCCTGATTCTTTTTCTTGCTGGTATCAAGGTTCACATCCTCTGCCTCAAACCTGCTCCATTTTAGCCTGGTGGGATGGCAAGACTGACCCATCCCTTCATTAGTCTACACTCCTTGGTTGCATGTTCCCACCCCAAAGATGCTCTTCACCTCATTCACATCCCTAGCATAGGAATTGCGCTGTCGACACAAAGGAAAACTGTTCAAATCCAGCTGCTGCACCCAGAAAGAAAAAAATAGGCCATCTCCTCCGGTGTGATTTATTGCCTCTGAAGACCCACTTGAGGTTCAGCTATGGGTCGGTTTTCATCCAGTGGTGCACCACCACCTGTACAACCACCAGACCATGCAGCAAAAGTCAATGCCAGTGGGTCAGGAAGGCTATTTTTGCACACTCACCCCACTGCACCACAATAGTCCATATTACTAACAATAAGATGTGGAAAAGAAAAACCAGTGCAGAGTGACTCGAACACATTGTAAGCCGGGGACTCCCTATAGCCATTCACTCTGAAATTCTTTTTTCCTGCAAGTTTGAAGATTGTTATAAGAGGTTGAGAAGACCACCCAGATTCCTCCCTGTGGTCCACAGTGCCTGCAAGTTCTGCCCTTTTAACATCTATGTCCTTCCCATTCTCCCTGTCACTCACTCCTCTCCAGCCTGGATAGACCCCTCACCGGCCAAGCATACTGTGCCCCAGGACCTTTGCACAAGTTGCTTATTTTCTGGAAAGCTCATCCCACCCCCTCTCTAACCTCTTCTATGTAAACCCAGGCTCTTCTCATCCCTTAGGTCCCAGCATCACTGCATTTAAAATCATGCCACCTGTTTTCTGCCAGGTCCCTCACATTCTATATCTCATTATGAATCTGCTTACATGTCTATTCAGCCACTTTTCTCATTGGGCTGTGAGCTCCGTGGGTTCAGGAATGTGCCCACTTTGTTCTATGCAGCGTCCCCAATGTTCAGTGCTGATCTGGTGCATACAAGTCAACCTGAGAGTATCTTCTGTCTGGATGGATCAAGGATGGGAGGATAGATGGAGGCTGAATGGAGGGTGGGATGGATGGAAGGAGGACTGGGTAACTGTAGACGGATAGAGAG